GGCTAGGCTTATCCCAAGGAACCAGTTTGGGATTGGGATCAAGCTAAGATTGGTCCCAGTGCTGAACTGGTGTCCTCATGGCCAAGGAAGTGTCCCCCACAGCCACCTAAGGGCTGTCCCCACACATCCTCTGCCCCCTTGGGAATCATGGAAAATCCTGGTTGGAAAAGACCCACAAGGATCATCCAAGTCAACTCCTGAGCCAGCATGGGACCCTGCAAAGTCCCACCATGTGCTCTTCCCTCGGGGAAGCAAAAGGGGCTGAGCACCCCAACCCTGTGCAGGATCCAGCCCTGGGAGGGAATCCTGGATCCTGTTTCTCCCTTGGGAAGGTTGTCCCCTCCTTCCTGACTCCTGTCAGACCTCCTCATCCACACCTAAACCTCCCTGAGGGGAAGAGAGATCCAAGTGTGCCATGATCAGATTCCGCATCCAGGTTATCTTCAAGATATGGTGGTGGACAATGTGGTCTTTTCCCACTATTTTCCACCCAGGAAAGCCCTTGGAGAAGATGTGGAGCCAAAGGTGGTGGAGGAGAATGAGGAAGAGCAGAGAAGGAGTTGGAAGCAGATTGAGGAGAGCAGGAAGGTGAGGCAGGAGGACATGGAGTTTCACCTGGACCTCCAGCCTGGGTGGGATTTAGAGCTGAGTCCTTGAGATATGATTCCCTCCTTGTGTGTCACCTCCTTCCCAGAGCTTGGCCAAGCTCCTGTTTGATGGGACACAGCTGGTGACAGAGATCCAGGTGGAATATGATCAGAGGGAAGCACAGAGGAGGGAAGAGGAGGCAAAGGTGAGGCTGCACAGGTAAGAGACTGTGTGAGGAGTCAGTGCAGCCAAGGACATCCCAGTGCCAGGGAATCCTGGAGTGTTCAGTGTTCCAATGGGAAAGTGAGGCAAATGAAGAGCCTCCAGGTCATACCTGACACAGGTGGATCCTTACAGAGCTCTCCTGTGCCTCAAGGAGCTCCAGCAGAGCTGCAGAGGGACTTGGGACAAGGGATGGAGGGACGGGACACAGGGAATGGCTTCCCACTGCCAGAGGGCAGGGAGAGATGGAATACTGGAAAGTAATTCCTCCCTGTCAGGGTGGTGATTTGGGCTATCAACCAGGAAACACCATTTCCAACACACCTCCTGCCTTGAGAGGCACTGGAGAAAGAGGAGATGGGAGTTGGATGCAGCAAGATGTGTCCCTTGCTCAGTGGGATTCCGAGTGGGAATCTCCTAGAGGAACCAGGTGCTGTGTCCAGGACCTGCAGGTTTGGGGGTGGCTCTGACAAGCACTTGCTGTGGCACTGAGGGACATGGTCAGTGGTGGCCTTGGCATTGCTGGGGTTGGCTTTGATGGTCTGAGAGGACTTTTCTCACCTGTGTCATTCCATGATGTCTTGATGCCATTTGGAATTCACAGTGCATGGGGCCACTGACCTACATCTGAAGCACTTCCTGACCTCTTCCAGCCCCTCATTTCCATGTGCTCCTCACATCCCACAGGCTGGAGAAGCTGGAGAAGGAAGCCAGGTGTGGCATGGACAAGTTTGAGGAGATCAACTCCAAATGGGCCTTGGCCAAGGATCTGAAGATCCCACAGGAGCTGTGGGAGCTGCTGAAGGAGCAGCAGGAGCAGTGTGAGCTGCTCCTGGAGGACAAGAACCGACTCATTGAGGAGCTGCAGCAGGTGACATGGGGACACAGGGAGCAGCTCTGCCATGGAGCCAGGCTGGGAGAGCTGGGAATGTCCAGCCTGGAGAAGAGAAGCTCCAGGGAGACCTCAGAGCCCCTTCCAGTGCCTAAAGATGCTCCAAGAGAGCTGCAGAAGGATTGGGACAAGGACCTGGAGGGACAGGACACAGGGAATGGCTTCCCACTGCCAGAGGATATTGGGAAGGGATTCCTGGCTGTGAGGGTGCTGAGGCACTGGGACAGGTTGTCCAGAGCAGCTGTGGCTGCTCCATCCCTGACCCTGGGAGTGTTCCAGGTCAGGTTGAATGGGGCTTGGAGCCACCTGGGCTGGTGGGAGGTGTCCCTGCACATAGCAGGAGGTGGAATGGGATGAGCTTTGAGGTCTTTCCAACCCAAACCATTTTGGGATCCTCTGATGCCATGGAGTTGGAGCTGGGATGGCTCCAGGTTGGGTTTCTCATCAGACAATCCCTGTGGGATGAGCTGCAAGGGATTAAAGGAAAACATTGAGCTCCAGGGAGACCTCAGAGCCCCTTCCAGTGCCTCAAGGGGCTCCAGGAGAGCTGCAGAGGGACTTGGGACAAGGTCATTCCAACCCAAACCACTCTGGGATGATTTGGGAAATGCATCACCTGTGTCCTGCCCTTTCCCTGAGCCCCTGAGGATTCCCATTCAGATTCCCTCTGCATCCTCTTCCCTCCAGGAGCTGAAAACCAAGGATGAGGAATACGAGCAGAGCCTGAAGAAGCAATCAGATGATGTTCACCTGCTCTTGAGGAGGATGGAGGAGCAGACCAGGACCTTCCTCAAAACATGCCGACAGAACCTCCTGCAGATCGAGGTACACCATTCCTCGGGGGAGGAAGAGTCCTAGGTGGAAAATTTGAGCCATATGTTCTCCATATCCATGGAGAAATGCCTTAGGATCTTTGTGCTGGCCATGTTTTCTCCATAGGTGTGGAAAAATGCCTTGGGATCCTTGTGGTGGCCATATCTTTACCATATTCATGGAGAAATGCCTCAGGATCCTTGTGATTGCCATAAAATGCCTCAGGATCCTTGTGCTCACCTTATCTTCACCAGCCCTATGGAAAAATGCCTTAGGATCCTTGTCCTGGCCATAAAATACCTTAGGATCCTTTTGCTGGTCATGTCTTCTCCACGTCCATGGAGAAGTGCCTCAGGATCCTTGTGCTGGCCATGTCTTCTCCACATCCATGGAGAAATGCCTCAGGATCTGCTGTGTGTCAGTGGAAGGTGTCACTGCTGATGTGGCTGGTGCCAGTTGTCCCCTGAGGTCCCAGTGTGACATCTCTGTCTCCTCCACAGAAAGCTTTCGAGCAGGAGCACAAGGAGCTGATGGACAACCACAGGAAGGAGTGGGATGAGGCCATCCAAGCCCACAAGGAGCAGGAGGTGAGGTCCATGTGAGGTTTAGAAACATGGAATTGCTGAGGTTGGAAATGCTCTCTGAGATCATCAAGTCCAGTAATGCCAAGGCCACCACTGACCATGTCCCCAAGTGCCACATCCACATGGATTTAAATCCCTCTACAGGAGGCTCAGCCTGGAGAAAAGGAGGCTCAGGTGAACCTTCTGCTGGATGTTAACACTGCTGGATGATGTTGTTCTTCTGCCACAGCTGGAATACCTCGGTGTCCGTATGAGGAAGGTGGAAGAGTTTGAGAAAGAGCTGAACCAGCTGCAGGAACAGGATGAGGAGAACTACAACAGCATGAAGCTCCAGCTGGAGAAGGATGTGGAGGTACAGAGGAGGCTGCTGCACTGGACCGTGGAATCATCATATGGAATCCCAGAATGGTTTGGGTTCGAAGGGACCTTAAAGCTCATCCAGTGCCACCCAGGGACACCTCCCACCAGCCCAGGTTGCTCCAAGCTCCATCCAACCTAGCCTGGAACACTTCCAGGGATGGAGCAGCCACAGCTGCTCTGGGCAACGCGTGCCAGTGTCTCACCACCCTCACAACCAGGAATTCCTTCCCAGTATCCCATCTGTCCCTGCCCTCTGGCAGTGGGAAGCCATTCCCTGTGTCCTGTCCCTCCATCCCTTGTCCCAAGTCCCTCTGCAGCTCTCTTGGAGCCCCTTGAGGCACTAGAAGGGGCTCTAAGGTCTCCCTGGAGCTTCTCTTCTCCAGGCTGGACACCCCCAGCTCTCCCAGCCTGGAGCATCTCCATGGCTTCCTCTGGACCTGCTCCAGCAGCTCCACATCCTTCATTTCCTGATCACCTGGAAGGTGACCAAGTGGGGAATGCTCTCGGAGCTGCTTTGGGTGGGAGAGAGGACCAGCTGGAGCTGTTGTTTCCCTCTCAGCACCTGCAGCCTTGAGCTGTGGCTGTGGGAGGTTTGTACCCAAGGCAGAGGAGACGATTACTCCTCTCCATATCTCTATGACCTTGTCCAGACTTGGGAACAGCAGAGACAGCCTGGCATCCCTTCAAGTTGTTTCAGGGGAGGTTTAGATTAGATAGTAGCACCAATTTCTTCTCCAAAAGATGGACAATGTGCACAATTCCTTCTGACGGGGACGTTGTTCTCCTCTGTGTCCTCTGTAGATGCAGGAAAACCTCAGAGGGTTGAGTTTTGGTCAGGAAAAATCACTTAGAACTTGGATTTAGGGTTGGAATTTCAAGCTAGGAGAACCTGGATGTGGCCAGGACTTCCTTGATGGATCTTTAGAGTGATTGTGCCCTTGATTTGATGGTTTTTGGGGCAGGATTTTAGGGATCTTCTAGGCCGTAGATTTTCTCCATGTGCTGTAAGGAGAAAGTCCCTTGGTCCTTCTGGGCTTTACCTCCAGCTCTTCTTCAGCCAAGCTTTGGTCCTACCAGGTGGAGCTGCTGCTGGAGCTCTTCCCAAGTTCCTGTCCACTCTAGGTTGACCTAGACCTTGTTTCTGTGGGCCTCTTTGGCATTCCAGAACCTGGAGAGGCAGCTCCAGCAGATGAAAGGTTTCTACCACCTGGACCAGGAGAAGCTGGACTATAACCTGGAGTTGCTGAAGAAGCAGGATGCGGAGAACAACGCCCTCAGCAACCGGCAGAAGAGAAAGATCACCAGGTGAAAACCATCCCTGGAAGGTCCTCTCATTCCAATCCACCCCTAGGGACACCACAACAACTTCCCTGGGGCAACCACAACTTCCTTGGGGCATCCACAGCCTCCTTGGGGCATCCACAGCCTCCCAGGGGCAACCACAACCTCCCTGGAGCAACCACAAACTCTCTGGGCCATCCACAGTCTCCTTGGGGCAACCACAACCTCCCTGGGGCAACCACAACCTCCTTGGGGCATCCACAGCCTCCTTGGGGCATCCACAGCCTCCCAGGGGCAACCACAACCTCCCTGGAGCAACCACAAACTCTCTGGGCCATCCACAGTCTCCTTGGGGCAACCACAACCTCCCTGGGGCAACCACAACCTCCTTGGGGCATCCACAGCCTCCTTGGGAGCTTCTGGTGTGCCCGGAGGTGGCTTTTGGGGCCACCAAGCCTTGGCATCCCTCTGCAGGCTCCACACAGCCCTCCAGAACATCAGGAACAAACTGGCTGAGCAGGAGAAGAGGTTCAAGGAGGAGAAGCAGAACCTAGAGACCGACTGTGTGCGCATCCAGGGGCAGTACAAGGAGATGGAGAGGAGGATGAGGTGGGATGTGCTTGGACAACCATCCCAACGAGGCCTGGAGTGAGGTGCAGAGGGATCTGCCTCCTCTTGGCCATGGATCCCACCACCATGGACATTTCTCCCTTCTCCACAGGCTCCTTGCCCTCAGTGATGCTGAGAAGTTCCGGAAGGTGTGGCTGATGAACGAGGAGGAGGCCAAGGGGTTGATGAGGAAAGCCTTGGATGCAGATAGGGTCATCCACACTGAACAGCTGGGATTGCCCTGGGAGGAACCTGTCTACTGGTTCATGGATAATGTTGGTCCTCTGAGACAGCAGAAGGTCAAGAGGACAGCGATCCAGGTGGCTGCAGAGATGCTGAGAGGTGGGACCTGTCACTTGTGTGACCTTCAGCTTCCTCAGGGACACCTCTGTGTCCATCCTATCCTTGTCATTCCCAAGTGGGACCTTACAGGAGGTCCCAGACCTGGGATGGCTCATCCCAAACCACTTTGGAGCTCTTTCCACTGTGGTTCTCCCAGTTCCAGAAGAGCTGGAGGAGATCCAACTCTCACCCCAAGACCTTGAGGTGTTCTCCAAGTCACAGGGACCAGTTTTGACATTCCTGATGACTCCTGGGAAGCACAATCCAAGTCTTTTCCTCCCCCTTTTCCTCCATGTTTCAGGGAGAAGCTCTGGAGAAGAGAGTGAGGAAGGAAGAGAGGAGGAGAAAGAAAGTGCGAGCGGTGGAGAAGGAGGACCAGAAGTCACAATGAAGGTTGAGGATGGAGTCAAACCTCTGCAGAACATCTCCAAGACAACTATCAGGAGGATCCTGGAGCTCCTGAGTGATGAGTCGGTGAGTGGTGGTGAAGAACATCATCATGGAGCAGCTTTGGTGTCTCCTGGTTGATCCAGACCTCTTTGGGTTGAAGCCTGGGTGTTCACTGTTGCTCCTCACTCTCTTCCTTGCTTCTTTCCCAAGGGTTTCCTCGTGGAGAAGAAGCTGCTGAGGCCTCTGGATGAGCTGCAGGGGCACAAGAACATCCTCCTGAAGCTCAGCTCCATCTTTGAGGTGAGTTGGGAAGGCTGAGGAGGTCCAAGGGGAAGATCTCTGTGGCTACATGGGACAAAGCTGGAGAACTGCATCCAGCTCTGGAGTCCTCAGAAGGATGTGGAGCTGCTGGAGAGAGTTCAGAGGAGGCCACGGAGGTGCTTCAGGGACTGGAGAAGCTCTGCCATGGGAGACCTTCTCCAGCCTGGAGAGGAGAAGCTCCAGGGTGATTTTAGAGCCCCTTCCAGTGCCTAAAGAAGCTCCAAGAGAGTTGCAGAGCAGAGACACTCAAGGGATGGAGGGACAGGACACTTCCTTCTCCTCCCCATCCCACGTTGTCCCTGAGGGACACCAACCAGATTCTTCTGCTCTCCAGGCCCTCAGGATCGAGGATGAGGATGACCTGTCCCAGCTGGTGGAATTTTTCCTCAAGTTCAAAGCTCAGGAGGTGACTCTCAACCAGGTGGGACCACCATGGACATGAGTGGGGAGAGCCCAACAGATCCAAGGATCTAAGGATCCAAGGAATGGGGAGCAGAACATCTCCTAAACAAGGAGGGAAGGCACGAAGTGGGAATGGTGTGTCCATCCCAGATGGTTCCCTGGAGGAGGAACATTCCAGGGCTGAGTTCATCTTCTGAGGAGGCTTCGCAAAGCCTTTCCCATGAAGTTTTCCCTCAGATCCCTGAAATTCCTAAGGGAGAAGGCTGGAAGAGCTCCCGGGGGAAGGTGGACCTTAGGGAGGTGGTGGAAAACTCACTTCCCACCTTCCTGTCCTTTCCTCCAGAGCCACGAGAGTCCAGCTGGAGAAGGTGCCATGGATCCAGCTGAGGGCAGAGAGGATGGTGGATGTGATTCCCAGAAGGATGAGCTCAAACCCCCTGGGAGCTCCATGGGTTCCATGCCCTTTGTGTCCATCCACCCTGATGATGTCCTAAAGGTCCTGAAAGCATTCCTGAAGGATTTTGAGAAGCTGAGGTAGGAGTTCTCCATCCCAAGGGTTTGTTTGTTCTCCATCTCAAGGATTTCATCTCCATCCCCAAGGGTTCTCCATCCCAAGGGCTTGTTCCTCATCCCAGGGGCTTGTTTCCCATCCCATGGGCTTGTTGCCCATCCTCAAGGGTTTGTTCTCCACCTCAAGAGTTTGTTCCCCATCCCAAGGGTTACTTCTCCATCTCCAAGGGTTCTCCATCCCAAGGGCTTGTTCTCCATCCCACAGATTTGTTCTCCATCCTCAAGGGTTTGTTCCCCATCCCTAGGGTTTGTTCTCCATCCCCAAGGCTTCTCCATCTCCAAGTCTTCTCCATCCTCAAGCATTTGTTCCCCATCCCCATGGATTTTTTTCACTCCCGAGGGCTTGTTCCCCATCCCAAGGGTTTGTTCTCCATCCCCAGGGACAAGGATGGATCACCCAGGGATGACCTGAGAGTCCAGAGCAGCTCCAGGGACGAGGAATACTGGGAGTGCCTGTCGCACATCATCCCCGAGCGCACACTGGAGCTGTGGGACGCGCTGGCCACAGCCCTGAAGGACTATCAGTGAGTGGCTGGGGGTGGCCAGGCCAGGTTGGGGACACCTCTGCTGGTGTCCCCATGTGTCCACGTGCCCTGTGTCCTTGCCCAGTGAGGTCCTGGCCAGGAGAGCAGCACTGGTGGCCGAGACAGTTGTCCTACAGCAGGAGAACTCGGAGCTGGAGCTACTCCTGGAGGAGTTCCTCAGACCCAGAGTAAGGTGAGCATGGAATTATGTCCTCAGGAGCTTGGGGACACCTCAGGGATGGTCCCAGACATGGAGCCATGACTGGAGGTCATGGGGTGCTTCTCCCACAGCTGAACAGGGAGGGATGGACCTGAAGATGTTCTGCTCCAGGGAATGAGTGCCCAGGGCTAACAGGGATGGAGCTAGAGCTCAGCCAGGGATTGCTGCTAGGGATTAATAAATCCTTCCCAAATCTGGAATTAATAAACCATTTCCAAATCTGGATCATGTGTTTGCCCATGTGTGTGGCCTTTGAGGAGCCACAGTCAAGTATCCTCCTGATCCAAGGAACTCATGGAACTGTGGGAAGGCATTTCCCCACTCATGCCACAGAGCCATGGAGTTTAGGGCATGGAATCATGGAATGTGTTGGTTTGGAAAGGACCTGAAATCTCATCCAGGGAAACCCAAGGACACCTTCCCCCAGCCCAGGTTGCTCCAAGCCCCATCCAACCTGACCTGGAACACTCCCAGGTATGGAGCAACCACTGCTGCTCTGGGAATTCCATCCCAGCCCCTCACCACCCTCACAGCCAGGGATTCCTTCCCAATATCCCATCTCTCCCTGCCCTCTGGCAGTGAGAAGCCATTCCCTATGTCCTGTTCCTAAATCCTCCATTCCTAGGTGTTATCATCCCAAACCAGTTCCACAGTCCGAGTTAATCTCTGCGAGGAATGTGTCCCGTCCCTCCTCCCTCTGCTTCCTATCAGTTTTCTCTCACTCCCAGCACATCTTCCCAGACAGTTTTATCGCTCCCAGGATACTTGGGATTTTTGGCTCCCAGGAACACACAGCACCACCAGTTTATCATCCCATACTTTATTTTGTCAGGATTTTTGGCTATCCCTGATTTTTTTAGAGAGGCTTCTCCTGCATCCCATGGAGGGATTGGGACATCTTGGGGAGCCAGGGGGGTGTCCTACCTCCAGGAAGCATCACCCATGGGGCACAAATCCCACCAAAACCGGGAATAGGGAGAGGGT